CCAGAATAGTGTCATAGACACAAGATTTAAAAAAGGAAGAGAGTTTCCAGGAGATGACAGTAAATAGTGTCAAACACTTAAAGATAAATGAAGATGAAGACTTGAGGGGGCAGAGGGCTATAGGATTGGTGATTAGAAGTTTAGTGCCAAATACAAGAACGGTTTCAGTAGAATTTTTCATATTATAGATGGTATGAAATAAAATGAAAGAATATAATTATAGATAGTGAGAAAGTGATATGTTAGGTATAGACTACTTTTTAAAGAAGTTTAGAAATCAAAGAAAAGAATGTGATAAGATAATAGTTTGTGAAATAAAGAGCTTTGATGTTGGCTTTTATTTTTAGAATGGAGAAAAACTAAACAAGTTTATAGGCAGAATATACAATAACTAATAAAAACTAATAAATGGATTGAAGATTCAAAGACTGCCAACGTTCGAAGGGTCCTTATATAAGACCCTGTTAGTCACTTCACATTTTCCATTGCCCCTTCTTCCTTGACAGTTGAACTCGGATCCTATTTGCAGTGGCAGTGTGCCCAGGCCCAAACAAGATACTTGATTTCCCAGATCCTCTTGCAGGTAGAAGTGATCATGTAATAAAATTTTGACCAATGAGATATAAGAGATACTTGAAAGGGCTCTGAGAGCACTTTTGCTTTTCCTAATTAAAGGGAAAAGATATAGTTTGCATCTCCCCTTTCCTCCTCCTTTCCACCTTGAGCAAGGACTTAATGGCTGGAGTTGCAGGAGCCATCCGGTGGCTCTAAGGCAGCAAGAAAGAAGGAAATGATAAGTGAGTCACATAAACACTAGTAATAACTTTGCCAAGCCACTGAACAAATATCAACAGCTCCTTAACTGCAGACTTCTTACAACAGGAGGGAAAAAAAACCCCTGGATAGTTAAGCCACTGTGAACCAGATACATATAGTATACATGTTTTTTATTTGCAGCCAGCTAAGTTTGCAACTACTAAGGCTTTAAATATCTTCAATCAACCTTCTGATATTTGAATCAACTCTAAAATTTCTCCAAGTTGTCATCTACCTTATGTTTATATACTTCCAGAGGCAGGAAGTTTATTAGTTATCAAAACTTTCCAGACCATTTTAGAGAGTTTTGACTATTAGAAACCTTCTCTTCCCAAAAACTTTCCGTGGTTCTTTACTTTTCCCTTGATTTAGCATTCAAGTTCCTACATAAACTCATTCTATCCTACATTACATTTCTATTTTACTGTGCTCTCCAGCATACGTACTCTATCCAAATCAGGTCACCCTTCGTCCGAACAGACACTGCTTTATTAACATGGAAAGCTCATTCTCATTTCTGCAACTTATTGCTTTCTGTTTCTTTTTCCTAAATTGCAAGTCCTTCATGTTTGACTTGTTTAAATTTTGAAACATTTTCAAGACTACATAAAGCCCTACCTTCTTTAGGAAATTTTCCCTGGCTACTCCATCTCCCACTGATCTCCATCTTTTGACGGACACAGCAAATTGTGACGTAAGCTACAAAACATGGCTGGACACTGAATTAATATTCTCCCATTATTTGTTCATTGTCCTTTGTGGGTTACTTTGGTTCATCTACTAAAAGGTGAACTCCTCCAAGCCTAAGACACACTCTCCTTATATATTTTCCCCACAATTACTAATGCAGCCTTATGTATGTATTTGATAAAAATTATTGATGGAAGGTTTTTAGAAAACAAATGTATATAGTGCTTAAAAGGGATAATAAAGACGCGTAATACACACACATACACACACACGTGATTTTGTGGTCAAAAATAGAGCTCAACTCAATAGAATCCACTAAAATTCCAAATTGGTGTTTAATGTTATTTTTAATTATAGAAATGTCTTTCTTTAACTCTCCTCGTGTTTAAGACAAGAAACTGATAATTGTCCCCTAGTCAGTGGTTGGCTGTAACATTAACACTTACTCTCTAGCATAAAATAAGAAATGACTACTATTAAATATAAATTTTAATTAACCAGACAACTAAGAAATTACACACAAGGCACCTGTACGAATACCATATTGAATTCTGAAGTTCCTCTTTCTGAATAGCTGCAAATCTTCTATACATCAAGTAAGCCAAATGGTCAGCTAGAACTATGAATCCAATGATCTATTCCTTATGGAGGAAGGCGCCTGAAGATGCCAGCATTCTGAGACAACTTACTCCATCTAGATCTGAGATTCTGTGGCCTTTGATAAAAGAAACACAGTGTGATGGTCTTGAAGTGTCACACGGTGGCATCTCCAGGTGTTCTGATCAGGGAACAATTACCTCCAATTCAATTCGCTCTCAAATTGGGTCTGGCACGGGTGCCATTTATTTGCTACTACTAGACATGACGGTGCTGGCTTCATCTGTTTCATCCTTTGCTTCATCTTCTTGGGTGTAAGTTGCAAATGAGCCATGTTTGGTCCAGGACTTGGCTACCAGTATGCTTGAGTTTGCTGGCTTCCATTCACATTTTCTTTTCCAGTTGTGTAATTACAGCTGAGAGTCCCAGCTAGGATTTATTCTACCTGCTTAACATCCCCTTGTTACTTTGTTTATTCTGAATACAATGACTTGTCACTAAAATATAAAGGCAGGTATAGCTTGACCTCTGCCTCAGAGAACATACAAGTGACTCTCTTAGCTCATAGGTGACTCTTCTTAAGTAGTTGCTATATGCTATGCACTGTACTAGTCGCTTAACATGGAGATGGAGTGTCCAATGGTTCTTTTCAATGCTGTGACGCAGGAACTATTATTTTATACTTATGGCTCAAATAAGAAAATGGAAGCACAAGGATGGTGTTCTATCTTTTGTTTGGAAGGTACTGAAGACATTTGTTCAACACTAGGACCCACAGCACAGTTTCTACAAATGAAGAATTATGTCAAGTACAGGGTGGCAAAGGTTGCAATATAGATATGCACTAGAGCTAAAGGAAGAAAAGTGGTTTTTAAGGGGTGGAGAATTAAATTTTGGCAATGCAGACCGGGGCTGAGGGAGACTCAGAACTATATATTTAAACGTCGGAGGTGACCACCAAAGCAGAAGAAGATTTTTTTTTCTTAATTTGGCATTCTCCCAGGGCAGAGTATAAAGATATGAGGAACATTGGAGGCAGGCCAAGAAAGAGGAGGTGGCTCACAGAACTGAGAGAGAGCAGAAAGGCGAGAAAAACAACCAAAGATTCACAGGGAAAAATCAAAGAGGGAGAGAGTTTCCAGAGCCCACTGAATTTTGTAATTGAGTTCATTATTAATCATGAAAGCTATTATGTTTTTTACACTAAGCAAAGATCACACACATGATGTCATTTAATCCTCACAACCACCCTTGAAGTACGTGTTATTATCTGCAGAATACTTCCGAGGGTGTCTAAGGGCAAAACCTAAACTGCAATGGGTTGAGAAGTGACTGCGTGGGGAGAAGGTAGTCTGCATTTGGGATAATAAAGATGGAGCCCCTACTAAAAGCTAGTCAGTCACTTTAGTACTGTTTTCTAATTTCATCCAAACAAAACTCTAAAAGGGATGTGTCGTTAATCACCTTTAAAGTAGAAACAGACTTGAAAGCCCAATGTGGTCCTACTGCCTATCTTTTCAATAAACCCCACTCTGCTCCCAGAGAGGGAATAGTTTAGCTGCAACAGACCTTAACTGAGGATTTTACTGTTCCAGGCCAGGCACTGTGCTAAGAACATTTACATAGATTGTTACATTGAAACTTAAGTTTAAATGCCAGTTTCATTACTAATAGTGTGGTGATTAAGGGCTTGAGCCCAGGATTCAGACTCCCTGAGTTTGGAGCTCAGCTCCGCCATCTACCTGTGTCCTTTGCCTCGGTTTCCTCATCTGTAAAATGGACTACCTTGTGAAAATCTTTAAAGACAATGCACTTAACATATAAAGAACGACGAGGGTCTAGGACATAAGTGTAAGATACAGTGTTAACTAGTAGTTGGATCGCCATTTTGCAGTAAAGAGAGAGTGAGGAAGAATCTTAGCAACATATTTTTCTGCTGTGGGCTGGAGGAGGGGGAGATGCAAAGAGGAGGGGAGATGGATGCAGAGAAGGAGCTATGATGGATAACTTCTCAGAAAGACAGGAAGGGATGGCAACCTGGCATAGGCACAGGTGCAGGGTCCTCAACCTCGATCAGGGGAGGCCCAGGAAAGGAAGCGAGGATGGTGTTCTATCTTGATTTTGTTTGGAATCAGACGAGAAAGAAGCTAGGAAGAAGTTTATTTTCCTCCGCCCTCTTGCTGGCC